TAGACTATGTTTAGAAAGTATGTACAATTGAAACAATCCATCATATGAGCAGTTTGATAAAGTCTTTAAAACTTCATTTCAAATAGATTTGAAAATCATTAAAGTAGAAATTATGGAAAAGTATCATCTTAAAACTTTTTTTTTTCACAAGAGAAAGTATGTTGCTAAAAAATATTACACGAAGACATAACAATCGGTACAAGAGACAAGTTTAGTTGAACAAGTCTAACTATGTCAAACATGACATAAGGTTTTCTAAACATCCTTGAAGCTCCTCGATATCCAAGATGTCACTTGTCACAAAATGACTAGTACTAACCTTATCACTTGTTAAAATTACGTGTTAGACAGAGGTGACTTAGTGAGTAATACTTAGGTTAAATAAGTAAAATCATTATAAACATGTTTCCTTTAAAATATCATAATCCCCCTTTTTTTTTTTATCAAAAACTCATAAAACTCTTCAAACCAAGTTTTGGGGAAAATACATTGCAATAATTAAACTACATTTCTATAAGCATTATAAATTCATAAAACTAATATCAACAGTGATAAATAATGTAATGCATGAAATAGAACAAATGCCTACAACCCTAAGTCATATCTAGTGTGCAAGTTAATATACCACGTTTCACAATGGAGACTAAGGTGTACGCTAAGAGACATATGGTAACTCAAAGAATATAAATAAGATGACACAAAACACTAAACATGTTTAGAGACCTCACTCGTGAAGACGACCTAGAATAAAATTAACACTCACGAGCTTTCTAAGATTGCAATTTGGATATCCGATTTTCAAGAATGTTTGAAATATACTAGTCTAAAGTCTTACCCAATGCATACATATACATGATCATGATTTGAAAACTCAAAAAGTCCTAATTTTTTTGAAAATACTTAAGAGACTTCTCCATTTAAAACTATATCTTTCTTAAAACGTATTAAAAGCATTCAACATTTATTTAAAAAAACATACCTACTTCAACTCCTCCCATACATTTGCACGTAATGAATAATGAATGCAACAAATTATGCATATAATATTCCAATTAATGTATACATATAATATTTCAAACATATGGAACCTTCTATCACACTCTTCAACTCCTCCCATACATTTGCATCTTCAACATATAAAAAAACATACCTACTTCAACTCCTCCCATACATTTGCACGTATTAAAATGCATTTTCATGTAGGGGACTAGTACTTATAGGGTAATGTTCTCACCTCAAGTGTGTATGCAACCTTCTATCACACTCTTCTAAGGAAGATTATATAACATCCGCATGAAAATACCTAAGCTAATTAATCAACACTAATTAACATCAAACTTGCTAATTAGGTTTACTAAGATTAAACAATCCAAACATATCATGGATCCTCAAACCACAATTGTATGGAAGCAACCAAATGCACATTTAATCATTACCTATGGAGTGTGATTTTTTTCACAAGCCAGTTAATTTCTATGACCCATGCGATCTAGGCATGGAAAACATACAATTCTCGTGTTTGCATAAACTAATAGTTATGAGCAAAAATTTAAAAATATCTTACAAACTTGCTTAACTGAAACATAATACAAATAGAAAATGATATTAATGGTAATATGAAAATTTTCGTATGAATGAGTTTAATGACTATTTAAAGTATTAAGAGGAGGGAGGGAGAAAAATCAATTTTTTTCTTTTAACAAGAATGACAATTTTAGATGCATGCTCAATAATGATAACAAAAAAACTATTTATACCGCTATTTAGTTAAATCGTTTATACAATGTCCAATAAGTTATTTATGCGTGCCCTTGATAATTGATACAATTGCACACAAAGCATACAAAAACACATTTATTTATTCAAGCGCTCAAAATTTCTCCAAATACCTCTCATCTATTTTCGATATTAAGGAACTACGTGGCCATTGCCCTTTGACGCTCGAATACCTAAGCGAAATTCTTCTATCTTGCAATATCATTTTTTCTATCTTACAAAAAGTCGATAACATGCGATTTATCAAGAATTTAATTTTCTAATAGGTTTTGTGTTGAACCAAGTGAACCACTCATATTTATAAATAAAAGCATGGGCAAAATAACCAAAATGCGAAAGACGGTTTCCATGACTATACGACTGTTAATATAAAAGAAAACAAATTAAAAAAACTTGGTGTTGTTTGTTTTTGAAGCAAAAGTTCATGAAATCTGCAGACAACTTCTGCAACCTTCTGTAGCAGAAAAGGTGAACTAAACGGCTACAGACATTAATAATAAATATGTTTATTTTGTAACATCTACATACTGTTGCAAATATTAAAAAATTAAACTAAACCAATGTTATATACTGAAAATAGTTTTAATTCCGAAAATTTAATAATGTATGACATTTCAACATGATTTTATGATATTTCAACAAAAAACAATGATATTCGAGCAAAAAATGATGATGTTTTGCTGCATTAAATTGTTATAGCGACGCAAAATTTTTCTTAAAAAAAATAATAATTCAATAAGAATAAAATTAAAAAAAAAGAAAACGAAAAAAAGAAGATGAAACAAGAATTTATCAAGATTTTAGCAACATATAATCAAGATTCATCAAAATTTTAGCAATAAAAAAAAGAAGAAGATGTTGGAAGAGACAATACAAGTATTTGCCCTAAACATAACATACATAAATGTTTTTTACTTCGAAAACTTTTAAAAAACAAACAGAACGAGATGAAAAGTGTTGCGCGTGTGCTGTACCGTACATCAATAAAAGATCTGAGAATGTTTTTTACAAAAAAAAACAAACAACACCTTGGTTTTTGGCTAACAAGAATCATTTGAATGATTTGAATTGGTCATATGATCTAATAAATCCGATTGCGAAAGGGATATATACTCAAGTTATTGAATTGCTAATCGAATCGATCTTACAAGTATCGGTCTTTGCGGAACTTGATTTTAGGCGGGTTCAGAATTAGGTCGAAACCGGTCTGAATGTGTATCTCTAAGGCTGGAGGGAGTGGTGCCACCGAAACCGCACTCCCTCCCTCGCCACGTAAGCGCTACGTCACATTTTACCACTTAAGTGTGGTTTTTTGCCACACCAAGGGTGTGGTGCCACAATTTTAGTTTTATTTTATTTTCTTTTTTTTTTTGTTTTTTTTGTTAACTATTTTAATTTAATAAAACTTATTTTTTAATAAAAAAAACATAATTTTAAAAACATAATAGTTCATTAATTAAAAATACAAATACCATACATTACCTAATTTAAAAAAAAAACCTAAAAATTTAGAAAAACAAAGTAGAAACAAAAAACCAACAACTTAAAAAAAAACACACAAGAAACCATTAAAAACTTGAAAAAAAAAACTAGAAATTAGCCACGATTCATGTAACGGTTTTTCACTTCCTCCTTCATCGCCAAAACCACTTCAAGCTCGGCCCCGGTCATATTCGACGTGTCCATTGCTAGTATTCGCATGTCGCTCTCCCTTTGTTTCCGAAGCTCTCTTTCAGAAGCAATTTTCAAAATCTTGTCCATTCTCTCTTTTATATCCTTCATGTCGGTTCCCATTTCTTTCAAATCATCTGAATCCGACGCTTTGCCTTTGCCTTTGCTTTTTGATTTGTCTCTTCCCAATGGCCGGGAAGGTGGTGAAACTGGAACAGGTTCATCTTCGTTCAGATCAAACTGAACACGAGCATCTGATGTAGTGTGGTCGGACTTAGATGTTCTGCTGCGTTTTGACCCACTATTGATATGTTGGTCAAATGTTTTGCTACTCAGCCATTTTCTGTTATCTTTCAAAAAATTTCAAACTTCAAGAAACTTGAAAGCCTTCAAATTTTCTTTTTGATACACTTTCAAGGCTTTCTTCAAAATGACTTCATCACTTTCTCTACTTTTCCATTGACGTTTCATGTTGTTCCACAAGTCATTAAACAACATGACTTCCTTGTTCATCTTCCCCCATTTGGAGTACACTTGATGTTTTGAACGGTATTCTCCACCGCTCATTCCTTTATGGAACCTGTGTAAAACGTGAATCCAAAAGCGGTCATGCTTTTGGTCTTTTCCAACCGTCGCGTCTTCTGAAATATCGATCCAAGATTGTGCCAACACCAACGCTTCCAAAGGTTCCCAACATCTAGCCTTCGCCTTCTCTTTTCTTTTATTCGTTGCTCGAGTGGGCTGAGTTTCTGTAACGAATTCTGGTTCAGGATCAGAAACGACCGTTTCTGGTTGTGTTTGTGTTTGTTGCACAAACTCGGGTTGGGACAAAAAAACAAATGGATTAAAATTCGGGTCGGGTTGTGGTAGTGGTGGTGTTTGTGGATGTGGTTGCCCTGGTCGTTGTGGAAAAGAAGGAAACACACCGTCATAGTGGTAATACAGAGGTGAGAAAATCGGTTGATCAAATGAAGGTATTGGGGTGTTGGTGTTTCTGACTGGTGTTTTTTCTTTGCTAGGTCTTTTGGAAGAAGACATTTTTTCAAAGAAAATTGGATAAAATGATTCTATTTATATGTGTTTAAAGGTTGTGTAAATGTAAAAATGATAACATATGTATATATAGATGGAGTAAAAGGTTAAAAAAAATAAAATAAATAAATAAAAATAAAAAAGTAAATGGAACGAATCTTTGAACAGTCAAGAAAGGAATAGCCAATCATAGAACGCGGTCTTCAAGGACCGTAGTACGGTCTTGATCGCCCCAAACCGCACCCTGGGGGCGGCGTTCCTGTTCCACGTGGCATGACCGCAGTTCCAAACCGCGTACCACACGGAGAATCCTAATGTAGAGTCGACCTTACTAAAGTTGGTTAAATGGTTCAAAACCATGATAACAAAAAAAAGGTAAACAAAATAGAAAAAGAATATTTGAACTACTTAACGGATGCGACGTCGTTACATGGTCAAAAAGCCTTTCTGTAGCCTTTCATACATCGTCTCATTTCTTCTACAACCCTAGCCCCTTTTCATTACTCGGTAAAACCCTAGCTACCTCTTATTTCTCCGCAAAACCCTAGCACCTCTCTCTCTTTCAGCCTATCCGCCGAAAAAAATGGTGCTCTCTCTTTCTCTATCGTCTTCCACTTTTGAATTTGTGTTCCACTTTGTGCTTTGTGTTCAATAACAAACACACATGTCTCCAATTCACCCTAATTTATTCGATTTTCGTTTCAATTTCTTTTGCAGACAGGAGAAGCCGTCAATCCAAAAGCGTATCCATTGGCTGATGCTCAGCTTACAATAACGATACTGGATCTCGTCCAACAAGCTGCCAATTACAAACAACTCAAGAAAGGTGCCAACGAAGGTACGATTTTTATTCCCACAAACCCTACTTCTCCCGATTACGTAGTCAAATCTAATGTTTATGAACACCAGAGATTGTAACATTATTTATCCTAAATCGAATTGACTTCCGAACAGTCTACCCTTAGTGTTTGCTTTCACGATATAGATTTTAACAATCCACCCATTCAATTAATATTATTGTTTGCGAACTTGATAATTTGTTGTGAAGTTGATTAATTTTAACGATCCCTCTGAATTACAGCTACAAAGACCCTGAACAGAGGTATATCCGAGTTTGTAGTGATGGCAGCTGATGCCGAGCCTCTTGAAATTCTTCTTCATCTTCCACTTCTGGCTGAAGATAAGGTAAATTTAGTCAGATAACTTGTCCTTTTTTACACTCATGAATCAATAGATGAACTATCTTTTTTTGGGAAATTGATATGAATGATTGATCTTGGATGGTTTTGGCAGAATGTACCCTATGTTTTTGTCCCCTCAAAGGAAGCACTTGGGCGAGCATGTGGAGTTACCAGAGCTGTTATTGCATGTTCAGTGACTTCTAATGAAGGAAGTCAATTGAGATCCCAAATACAGCAACTGAAGGTAATGATGAGGGCATTTATGTCTTTTTTGTACAAACAAGAGAAGTACAAGTTGTT